GTTTGGTGCCGAGAATGGCTGTATCTTCATATGTAAGCCACCCTTAGGATCAAATAAGGGCTTTCAATGGCACTTCTTGCTGTTTCTGACCAAATGGACGGTGTTGGCGATTGAAAAGTTCTCCTCGATTTGGTGTTGTTCATTGAAATGCTTGGGCGCCGTCTTCTTCCACACTGTAGATTCAAAGAAGTTGTCTAGCTTCTAATCTTTCATCTTTTCAAATATTCTTCACTTTCAAATGTGACACGTCATTCTTTTTCTTCAAACGCGTACTGTACAGTAGTTTAATACTCATCGAATAGTATTTTTTTTCAAGGCGAAAAAAGTGAGCAAACTATCCGCAGCAAAAGCTTTGGCTATTTCCAGGCACACGAGGTACTCTTCTTTCTTCAATTACGACGTGAAAAGAGCTATCGAGTTCTGTTCTGATTTCGTAGTTCCTGATCTGTTTTCGGACGCTGAAAAGCTTGTTGTGCGCAACACTGTGAAGATAGAACATTTCCGTTCTCTCATGACGCATCATAAATTCTTCCCACTCAAAAGGCTGGTAAGTGGTTTGACTATTCATTGAGTTTCACTTTGATGATGCCTTTACTTCAGCTGCCACGTCAGAGCTACGCAAGTATTACTGAGTACTACTACAAAAATAAACCACACGACTTTACATTTATTCCGCGAAAACGGAGGGCTGTCAAGAAAACCGAAGTGACAACTGATAAAAATGAGCATCCCTCTTCCGTGAAGTTAAATCATTTTCTGAAACGAAGGAGGACCAGTTCACCGAGGAAGAAGAGAAAGTTAGTTTTAATTACATCATTGTTCCGAAAGCTTCACCCCTTTCACTCTTAGTGGTTCAATGGTACATTTTCTAGGGGAGGGGAAGCCGTCGCGACGTCCCGATCTGCGCCCTTCCAGGAAGACTTATAGTTGTAATATTTCTGCGCAGCGAGGAATCTGAAAGCTTGGGAAGTGTAGCCAGTACAGAGGCCGTCTGCAGCAGTACCTGGCTGGGGATGGGGATTTGTTCCCGGCAGTGGATCAATCCCCAACTTTGGAAATCCGTCTTTGGGCCGGGACGAATGGCCAAAACCAGATTTGTTTCCGGCTAAGTATCGCATCATACAGCCTCAAGAGGATGCGGTAGGGTAATTCAAGTGGCATGCGTGAATACTATGGTAACACCCACAACAGATCATGGCATCTGCGAATTTATCTAATTTTTACGCAATCTGGACAAATGGTCCCTATCGCAATAAGGGAAAGCATTACGTGAAATAGTTCATGCGGTGAAAGCTGCTGGCCGCAGTAGTCCGTGCCGCCAGTAATCCTATTTTGGAAGCGGAGAAAGCTCCAAGGTTGATGAAGCAATTGTAGCACAGAAACTATTATAGTTATTTCACTTTCCCATTGTTCACAATAGCGGAAATGTTTGTTGTCGTTTTACATGCGTTGGGTGCTCTACGCTGCTATGCTCCACCCCGCCCCGTCCCGCCTTCTTACTACGGCTAAAAAATTAGTGGTGTGTCGCGTTTGCATTGTCTTATAGTTGCTAAACGCTTGTTAAGTTTATATGGAAACGACATATGTATGGAGGACGTGCCAGTTTTTACTGTGATTGTACGCTTCCTTCGATGCTTCGTGAGATTTTGTTCCGATTGCAAATGTATTCCGTGATTCTCACTGCCAAGTAATGAGTCGCAGATGGTAGACTTGGGGTGTGGTTCACTAGGACAGAAACGACTTTTCGCGTTTCGCAGCGCGAAACATTTTTCGCTGCAGGAACCTCAGGTCCACCGCTGATCATGAGTGGACCTGAGTTCCCGCAGCGAAAAATGTTTCGCGCTGCGAAACGCGAAAAAGTCGCTTTCTGTCCTAGCGAATCACACCTGTAGACATGTTTGCCATTGCTATGCTGCAGAAGCAGAAATAAATTAAGCGGCTACCGTAAAAAATTTATGTCATTTATGCTTTTGCGGCTGTTCATTAAGTGTAGCCAAATCTATGCAGCTAGGTAAGCGGTTACGATTCAGCTGGGTAAGGGTCACAAATCGTATTTGTATCGTCGGTCCCATAATTATGGACTGTGAAAGCCGTGCACACTGCGAATTTGATTGCATTTCCAATGTTTGTTGGCTTCTGCATGACTTATTACTACTTACCTTATATTATTTTCTTGCAGATCTATGCTTAAATCGTCGTACAGAAAGACGAAGCGTCGTTCACTCTGAGTGACACTCTCGTTTTCCAGTCGTGTGCTGCTGCTAACCTTCCCATTTAGCTGTTCCCATGTTAGTTTCCTCCGCAATCTATACTTACCATTGATTACTATTAGGGTGAAAATGAGGTTGAAAAAGTTATTCCTTTCAGAAGCGCTGTTTTGGAATCGAACCATTCATCTACCTTAGCCTATCATTCGTAGTTTTGTTATTCATGTAGCTAATAGTACCCAGGTGAGGTTCGCTAGGACAGGAAGCGACTTTTCCAGTATAAAGCTTTTTTCGCCGCGAGAACCTCAGTGGTGGACCTGATGTTCTCGCAACGAAAAATGCTTCGCGGTGCGAGAAGCTGAAGGGTCGCTTTGATTCTTAGGGAACCACACCCGTAGTACGCTAGTACCGCATGTGTCTTGCAGTTCAACTGCGTGAAGAGCTACTAGACGGGAGTAGACGCTGGTTTTGATTCGTTTTCTCTTTTTATAACGAATGCATCAATACGCTCGTTCTTTGTGTTGCTGGGCGTTCTGAAACCCAGACGGGTGCCAAAAAGGTATCGGCTCTTAATGCTACTTTTAAGGTCATAAGGTTATAATGTTTTGTCGCTATTAAATGCATATTTTACGCAAAAGGGTTTCTTATGGTGTCGCTAGTTAGGATGAAGTTTAAAACGGTTTGGCGATTGTTTGGATGAAGCTGAGTTGTGTTTCAAGTTGCTGAATTTTGATCTTCTTTTGAAATGAGTGTCCTTCCTTTTTCGTTGTAACTCCTTCGCCTCGATCTGGAACGTTTACTTAAAGAATTGTTACCTATGTGGCCTAGTTGTGAAATAGGCGGTCCAAGGCATCAGGCTGTACAAATGAACGATGAAAATTGCCGTAAAGCGTGCTTCCTATTATACCGGTGATAGTTCTACGCGGCCTTTTGAATGTGTACAGCTTTATATTGTTGTACATGAAGATTTCTGGAATGCTTAGCAAGTTCGATGATTCTATGTTGATGTAAGCTTTCAAACTTATGCATGCTTTCTTAGAACGAGTTCTTTTTCTCTTGCTTTCCTAAGTCTTTCCTAAGCTCATAACGCTATAGCACCAGTTCGTTATGTTTCATTTCGATACCTTAAATACTTTGGTCTTATCAGTTTGCTGACGATGTCCATGTTCCTGTAATTATTTAATTTACGTCTAGAAGACGTCTCGAATGATGTAATGTTCGAATGTTTCCTTTTGAGTTTTGCTGTGTACCAGTGCGTTACCATATGTGTACAAAATAAAGTGGTGCTGTTTCCGTGTGCGACTCTCAATGAATCTTGGCATGAGTCGTAGAGAATATGTCAGTATAGTGAATAAGCTCCAACCAAGATTGATAACAACTTTTATTTGGCTTACGTTTCGGCGCTTTCGCCTTCTTCAGAGCCTGGAAAGAGGAAAGCCATTTACGAAACTACCCGTCCAAATACTATTTCAATCCACAAGAATCACTCAGCAGGGGTAAACTATTGGGTTGTCTCATAATTCCTGTCGCATTTCTATTCAATTTCAAATTCCTTCCGTCTAAGACCGTTTCATTGCGAAATACGTTAGTATGTTGAAGTATGCTTCAAGAGCCTTAACAGCATGGTTTCGGAAGCGCAAGCCCTTAACGGGTTAATCAACTAGGAATAAAAATAGGTCAGTGACTGCAATGAATGATTATGCTTTACGATCCTCAAATGAACTCTGTAGCAAGGAGGACAACAGAGAAGATCAGCGCTGTGTTTGACTCCAGTCTCTGCTACTGATAGGGTACTGAGCTAGTGGTCCAATCGCAACGGCAAAGACGAAACGAGCTATGAACTTCAACCTCATACTGGGCCTGCGGTCATTTTTGATGAGCGCCCCTTGCACCCTAAATTGGGAGTGCCTCCGCACGTTGCTACCAGATACCTGAGCGCAGCCGATGCACCAGCACACGCCATCAGTATGGCAAGGACTGCTGCAGAATGAAGTTTCGATGTTTTGAGGCAGCCGTTGATCTTGATAGCAACTGAGAATTATTTTAGCTTCTGGACGCGATTCCGATCAGTGATTGTTAGCGGTGTTTAAGGGGTCACAAGTACGGACCCAATTAGCCGATCCTGCAGGAATGGAAGACGGTTGGCTTGGGGGAGATTCGACACCAGTGCAACTTCGCCCGTAGATGAAACCAGGGCCGATTGAATTCACTATGGTCATTACATATGTGTACATATGTACTGCATCCACCACCACCATCACCGATGAGGTTTTGAATAGGTCTTTCAGAAGTCGCTAGAAATATGAAAGCACAGAGGGTATTCTGAGAAATATGAGGTAGTTGTCATTGAAGGGTTGCTTCAGGTTTTCTCGGACTGCTAGTAGAGAAAGTTGATTTACTTTCCACGATACAGTTGTTAGGATGAAGAGGTCTGGTATTTCGATGCTAACAAGTGAAATATTGCTGCTGTTCGCTATATTTCAGCATATTGACCACAATGCCGATGGCACGACGTTTTTTTGCTTAGGTGCGCCACTATTCCGGGATTTAGCACAAGAAGAATCTCGTTGGCGCTACATATTTTATCAAGGCATGTATGTAGTGTACAGCCCACCCGTGTGGCGGGCTTGTCCTGTGCCTATTTTTTCAAGTCAGATTTTATTAACGAAAGGGATTCTCGTGGAAAGGAGGGGGCAGCCCCATACTTGCTACGGTTCAGGGTGTGCGATGACACCACGAGATCTCATGAGCTTCGGTAGAACCAAGCGCTAGGGGCTTGTGTAGACATGGTGCGCATGCAATTTCCATTTTCCTGAAGTCACTCTCACTTCTTTGCCTAGTCCGAGGAGCGAATTCAAGGGGCTATTTCGATTCTCGCAGAATGATGTGATGAGAGAAGCGTCGTAACAGTCACTGCATACAATGCGTATTTACCGTTTTCCAAAGATCCAGCATATCTACGGACCGGTTTAGCACCTGAATCCGTTTATGATTCCACCGGCAGCTTTGTGGGAGCGTTTTCCAGTTGTAGGGAGGTAGTGGTGAGGTTGGAGATAGATCGAAGGTGAACTCCTTCACACCACTTGATAGAAAAGACGACTAGACGAGAAGCACTGTTTCGTATTAATTTATAAACAAATGCATCTCTGGAGAAACACTGCAGAATGTTTTCTACGATTTAGATATAGAAGAGTTGCAGATCTCGAAAAACTGTTCGGATTTACCAGAAATTGAAATAAACAAACAAGATCGTTGAAATTCTCATTGAGAGCGAACAAGTTAGTGTTGCACGGACAATTTGCCACTAAGAGCTATTACTTGAAACATTCCTATTATGAGAAAGTTGGACAATTTGATCTTCCTAGTTACAGTGTTCACTTCCTTAAGCGAGAGGTTGTTTCTTGGAGAAGGTTTGGCTCCTGAAAGAGTCAAAATTCGGAGAAGATTTCCTCGTTATTTTTCAGGTAGGAGCCAAATCCCAATGTGCAGCATAAGTTTAACACTTTATATAAAGTGCAAGCCAAAACTGAAATGCTCTCTTCGTTCTGTAGGTTGACTTTTCGCCGCATCATGTTTGACTCTTCCTGTTTGAGGCATCGTTGAATTGCGATAAAATTTCACTTTTTTTCGCCTTCTTCTGCTCCAGATTATGATTCTTCTTTTGCACTAGATAGCTCGATGCATTATCTTTATTTACTCGTTCTATTAGAATATTTCAATATCGTTAGTTTTTCTTAGCTAATGACAGGAAAAAATTCTTGATATTGTCAAAAATTCCAATCCTTTTTTCGCCTTCATATTCGTTTGTTCACGGTGAGATTTGGCTAAATAGATTACGTTTCTTAACGCCTCTGCTAAGTAAATAAACTAGTTGTGTTTCGGGCCTTTTTCAGTTGCGACCTCCAAAAAACGCGCCTCGAGAGACAGCGCAGGACGCATGTGTCCCGCGGCCGCCGCGCTAGCAAAATCGCACATGTCCATCGCGGCCAAAATGACCAAAACGCGCGTTGTCGTCAAGGTCTTAATGTTTTATGTGACAATCGTGAACCACGATAAGGTACTGTGGGATTAATCTCTTTATTAAGGTACTCAAGCGAATCATAGAAATAGAAAATGTTTCTGACTTCAGGTTCCCAACCATTTTCTGAGCATGGAACTTTTCGGGATCAACAGTTATAAATTCCTTCGAAATGCTTGTTGTGAAAAAAGCAAGCATTGCTAAAGGCTATGAAGTACAGGCTCTAGAATGGCGCTACTGAACGCCCCTTGAACGGATTCATGGCCAAAAATTTCGCAATTGTAATTTTTGAATCTCGAGAAATCTTCCCTTCCTCTTCATTGAACATTCCTACATTTACTGTAGACATTGTTGGGACTCTTCCAAAACAATCTTGACGCTTATACAAATCAAAACTACAGCATTTGGCTATATGTTGCTCTAACCAGGAAGGTCTTTCAGGGCGTGACGAGCTTTTTGAAAACGGTCTTTTGCATGATATAGGGGCAGATGCGGGAACCACAGAACCATGTTTAATTTTTCCTGAACGGCCCTCTGAATACCAGAAAAGGAGGTCCCTAGTTCGATTCCTCGTGGTAACAAATTTTTGCATTTCGAGTTGACGTGCCAAAATTCGCGCAAAATGGAGTTAGAACCAACCAGAACAATCAGAACTCCATTTTGCGCGAATTTTGGAACGTCAACTCGAAATGCAAAAATTTGTCACCAAGAGGAATCGAACTAGGGACCCCCTTTTCTGGTATTCAGAGGGCCGTTCAGGAAAAATTAAACATGGTTCTGTGGTCCCCGCATCTGCCCCTATATCATGCAAAAGACCGTTTTCAAAAAGCTCGTCACGCCCTGAAAGACCTTCCTGGTTAGTTTAAGATACGCCACGCACGTGCCTGTTGTTCGATGTTGTGGAGCCTTCTGAAGGTCGTGTGCTTATTGCTATGGCTGTGAAAACCAGCCGTTTTGATCCTTGTCATGTTTTGATAAGAGGATATAGATGCGGTCTAGCTTC